AGTCTTCTGACTTCTAGCACAAGATTCCTTTAAGCTGTAATGAATACAAAAGCTCTAATATGAGAATGGAGAGAAAGAGAAAGGGTGGAGAAGGAGAAGGACTAGAATAAGGAAGAGAAGGTGTCGAATCAGGTACCTGTTGGCAGGCAGGGGCACTGACAGGTGTGTGGGGCAACCTTGGGGGCAGGGCAAGGGAGTCTGCCAGGGAAAGAGGAGATGGAGGCTGGGGACTAGCTGGGTTATTTTCAGAGCTGCTATCTTTGTCTGCATCTGCTGAATTATTAAACTGATATCACATCCTAGAGGGTGGCAGGCCAGGTTGCCAGGAAGAGACTGAAAGGGAGGGGTTGGATCTCTTAGCGAGGCCTGGAATCTTCTAGGCTGGGATGGAAGTAGACTCCTCAGGCCTTGACCTCCTGCCCCACCCCACTCTCAGCGGATGGAGGGGATCCTGCTTTGAGCCACAGCCACACTAACCATGCCCTCTGTAGGGCTTTGTTTCTGCTGACTGCTCTCCTGGGAGGAGCATGAATGAAATGGACAGGACTCTGGAACCAGGTCCCCCTAGGCTATGTCTTCTCTTTCTTGGCCTCTGCCTCAGACCACAGACAGGTATGGCCAGCCTGTGAGGTCTTGGACAAGTCCTTGCATCAGTCTGTGTCCTTGTCAGTGCCATCATATTGGCAGCTCCATTCCTCAGAGAGAAAAAGCTCCTTTCTCAGTGTTGCATGGCTAGGAAAGGACTGAGATTCAATTCACTCTCAAGTCTCTAATTCCAGATGCCTTTTCTCTCCCTATTCTTTTATTGTATTTTAGTATTCTCTCTGTGTCCCATCTTTTCTACAAAAGGGATACGTAACTTTTACAAAGATCAGAAAGAAACAATAATAATTATAATTTAAAATTATATTCCCTTACTCCAAATATTGTATATGCCAGGCTGGCTGTGCCTTAAGAGGTAGTTGGCTGTGGCCCCCATCCACTCCCGGGAGTGGTAAGGAAGCTGGGATGGAAGCTGGCAGATACCAGACTTCTCTCACCTCTGGCCCTGTGCACAGAGTGTTCCTATCTTGAATCCTTCTCCCTTTCCGTCCTCCACCATATGTGAATCACTCACTTTGATTCATCCTTCAGGTCTCAGTTTAAATATCATCTCCTCTCCCTGATCCCTCACCATCCAGCTGAGCTCAGTGTCTGCTTTGTATTCTCGTAGCATCAATGTCTCTCCCACTTCAGTAGATAGCTCACTGAACTGCCATCCCCCTAGACTGTGTGCTTCCCAAGGGCAGGGTACCATCTGATTATTGCTGTTCCTCCAGCAGCCAGCCCAAGTTTATTGAATGAGTGAAATAATAAATAAATTAATGGATAGAAAAGGAGGCTTCTCCATTCTCTACAAGCTCTACTCCTGCATTATTTGTCAATACAAATGAGCATTTATTGAGTGCCTTATGCGACCAGGCACTCTACTTAACTTCAGGGGATTGAAATAATAAGCAAAACCAGGCAAAGGGGAGAGACTGAGTAAATAAAGGGATGCATATATATCTATTACTTGTGGAAAATGCCATAGAGAATAGGGGACATATCAGGGAATAACAGGGAGATAAAGGATGATTTTGGATGAAAGCAGATCTATTTAAATCCTTGCTTGGCCACTTATCAACTGTGTGACCTTGGGCAAGCCTCTTCACTTCTCTGGGCTTTCCTTTCTCATGAGGAAGGAAAGGCTGCTGATGCCTCTCTCTTTGGGAGGCTGTGAGGATATAGAGAACATTCATCCCTTCAATAAATGGAGGTTGAGTATCTCTTCCTATTCAAAGAAACAACTTGCCCAAGGTCACCTAGATGGACAGTGTGGGTGTGGGATTTGAAGTTAGATCTGACTGGTTCTCTGGATCTGGCTGATGGGGGTGGCATGGGGTGGAGGGTAAGTTCTGGACTCGTTTCCCTTGATTCATCCCCCAGAAGTTGGGAGCAGTGATTGGCCTGTCAATTGCAGGCAACCTGTCGATCTCCCCACAGTGAAGGGGGCGCACTTCTGCATAGAGAAAGAAGATTTGATGACACAAAGGATACCATTTAAATGAATGACACCATTCAGCAGGGCATTCCTTCTTGTCGGTGGCAACCTGGTAGCTCCTGAGCCATTAAGCCCTTCCGACTCCCTGAGCACCCACCCCTCACTGACTCTCCCTTTTTCTTCTGTGAGCCTCTTCTAGCACCAGTGCGGCTACTAACCCCTTTCCCCCTCCGTTAAGCCCATCAGATTCCCTTAACCCCTTTTCTTGCCTTCACTGAGCCCCCGTCTCCCCATCCCTGGGCCTCCACTACTCCTGGTCCCTGACGCCCTCCCACTCATCCCTCCTTCTAAGTCCCCCTCCCTTCCTCTTCACGGAACTTGGGGCACCCTATGGACCCCTCCCTCCTCTCTGAGCCCCTTCTGAGCAGCCTTTCAGGAGCCAAGCTGTTTCGCCCACAAGTCCCATCATTCAATCTAAGGAACCTAGGCAGGGTGCCATCTGATTATTGCTGTTCCTCCAGCAGCCAGCCCAAGTTTATTGAATGAGTGAAATAATAAATAAATTAATGGATAGAAAAGGAGGCTTCTCCATTCTCTACAAGCTCTACTCCTGCATTATTTGTCAATACAAATGAGCATTTATTGAGTGCCTTATGCGACCAGGCACTCTACTTAACTTCAGGGGATTGAAATAATAAGCAAAACCAGGCAAAGGGGAGAGACTGAGTAAATAAAGGGATGCATATATATCTATTACTTGTGGAAAATGCCATAGAGAATAGGGGACATATCAGGGAATAACAGGGAGATAAAGGATGATTTTGGATGAAAGCAGATCTATTTAAATCCTTGCTTGGCCACTTATCAACTGTGTGACCTTGGGCAAGCCTCTTCACTTCTCTGGGCTTTCCTTTCTCATGAGGAAGGAAAGGCTGCTGATGCCTCTCTCTTTGGGAGGCTGTGAGGATATAGAGAACATTCATCCCTTCAATAAATGGAGGTTGAGTATCTCTTCCTATTCAAAGAAACAACTTGCCCAAGGTCACCTAGATGGACAGTGTGGGTGTGGGATTTGAAGTTAGATCTGACTGGTTCTCTGGATCTGGCTGATGGGGGTGGCATGGGGTGGAGGGTAAGTTCTGGACTCGTTTCCCTTGATTCATCCCCCAGAAGTTGGGAGCAGTGATTGGCCTGTCAATTGCAGGCAACCTGTCGATCTCCCCACAGTGAAGGGGGCGCACTTCTGCATAGAGAAAGAAGATTTGATGACACAAAGGATACCATTTAAATGAATGACACCATTCAGCAGGGCATTCCTTCTTGTCGGTGGCAACCTGGTAGCTCCTGAGCCATTAAGCCCTTCCGACTCCCTGAGCACCCACCCCTCACTGACTCTCCCTTTTTCTTCTGTGAGCCTCTTCTAGCACCAGTGCGGCTACTAACCCCTTTCCCCCTCCGTTAAGCCCATCAGATTCCCTTAACCCCTTTTCTTGCCTTCACTGAGCCCCCGTCTCCCCATCCCTGGGCCTCCACTACTCCTGGTCCCTGACGCCCTCCCACTCATCCCTCCTTCTAAGTCCCCCTCCCTTCCTCTTCACGGAACTTGGGGCACCCTATGGACCCCTCCCTCCTCTCTGAGCCCCTTCTGAGCAGCCTTTCAGGAGCCAAGCTGTTTCGCCCACAAGTCCCATCATTCAATCTAAGGAACCTGAAAGCACTTAGAGAACACGTGGGCGGGGCTCCATCTTCCTCCATATCAAGCAAGTGCAGCTCCCACATGGGCCTCCTTTCAGTCTGGGGCAGTAGCCACTCTGGCCACACCTTTGCAGGCTCACCTCCTGAGACCTGCGTTTAGGGACGGTCTTCCCAGTAGGTCTCAGAGCTGATTTCTGGCCCTCCAGTCCCTGCCCCTGCCCACCACAGAGACCTCCCATCTATGATGACACCTTCAAATGGATGGAAACTGAGGCAGGGCCATGGCGTCTGGGCCCATGCTTGGAGCAGGTATGGCAGAGTCACTTCTGCTTGGGGGAAAATGAGCAGGGCTCAGTCTTATCATTTTTCAAGGTTGACTTAAAGTCCTAGTTAAGAAGAGTTCCTCAGTGACAGAAGACTCAGGTATCTGAGGCCCTAGAAGGCATGAACGGCTGAGCTGGTTCCATTCAGTGGTCCAGATTCGGCCACCGACTGGCAATGTGACCTTGGGCAAGACACCACTGCACCTTCTGGGTGTCCTCCTCCTGTGTAAAATGTGCAGGCAGGACCTATTGGGCAGAGCAAATAGGAGCTGTGTCCTGGAAAGAATTTTGCACACCGTGGGGTTCAGGGATCCTCTGGTGGGCCACCAAGGTTTGTGAAAACCGCGCCAGGCTCAGCTGCAGCCCTTTGGTTGGTTTTGCAAGTGAAGGCCTGCCTGACGGGGGTGCAATCCGACAGATCACACCGGGAAGCTGGTCGCCCTTCTGCCTTAACCTTTCCACAGGCGCTGGGACATTGGAGAAGGCGTCCTGGAGAGACTTGTGACCCAGAAAAACCAGGCAGAACGTATTCGGTCAAGGGGCAGCGTGCAGTAGGGAAGGAGCACTGTGCGAGGAGTCAAGTCTCCTGAGTTCTGGTCCAGACTCTGTCACATAGTGTGGCGTTAGGCAAAACCCTTTCCCAGGTGGGGGCTGGAGTCCATGATTTCTAAGCACCAGCTACCAAAACTTATGATTCAGGGAACCAGATCAGAGAAGATTCTGTCCTCTTTCCACCCCAGATATTGGGCGAGTTGGACGGGGACTGGTGCTCTGGCAGAGCAGATAGGGACGAAGGACCGACCGAGAACTTGGGCAGGGTCTTGAAAGGGAGGAGCAGGGGAGGAGGGTCCGGGGTATGCCACTCTCTGATTGGCTATTCTGTCCATCTCTCCGCCCCATGTTCTATAAAAGGCATCTGCTGCTGGCTTAGCGCTCGCGTGGGAGCTGCGGCCTCGTCCTTTTCTTGGTCGTTGCTTCTATTCTCCCTCGGACGGGGGTGGCCGGTCAGACTCTCGGGCCCACAGCTGTAGACCGCCGGGGGGCGGGGGATGCCGGGCTGCCGCATCAGCGCCTGCGGCCCGGGGGCCCAGGAAGGGACGGCGGAACCAGGGTCGCCCCCGCCGCCGCCCCGGGAGCCCCTGTCATCCCCTCACCCCCCGCCCTCAACTCCGACCTTGACTGCGACCCCGGCTCAGGCCTCACCGCTGCGGGAGGCAGCCCCGGCGTGGGAGGGCTCAGCGGAGGGGCAGGAGCTGCAGCCGTGGCGCCTAGGCACTAGCGGGGCCGCGGGAGGCGCCGGGCCGGCAGGGGGCGCGGGCGCCGGCGTGGTGGTGGCGGCGGCCGCCGCCGCGGCGGGAACAGGGGGCCGGGCGCTGGAGCTGGCCGAAGCGCGGCGGCGACTACTAGAAGTGGAGGGCCGCCGGCGCCTGGTGTCGGAGCTGGAGAGCCGTGTGCTGCAGCTGCACCGCGTCTTTCTGGCGGCGGAGCTGCGCCTGGCGCACCGCGCCGAGAGCCTGGGCCGCCTAGGCGGCGGCGTGGCGCAGGCAGAGCTCTACCTGGCGGCTCACGGGTCGCGCCTCAAGAAGGGCTCGCGCCGCGGCCGCCGCGGCCGCCCGCCCGCGCTGCTCGCCTCGGCGCTGGGCCTGGGAAGCTGCGTGCCCTGGGGCGCCGGGCGCCTGCGGCGGGGCCATGGCCCTGAGCCCGACTCACCCTTCCGCCGAAGTCCGCCCCGCGGCCCCGCTTCCCCCCAGCGCTGACCTCAGCGCGGTGACCCCTAGCCGCCCGCGACGGACCACCGCCGAGGTGCGGATCGACGGACTGCGGACGCCGGCTGGATGGGCGGTGTCGGTGATGGGCGGACTGACAGATCACAGGAAGAGACTGTCCGGGGCCAAGGGCCCGGTAAAGGAGGCTGAGGTGTGGTCTTAGCGGCTGGTGCGTCCGAGGGGCAGGCCGGGCGGGGTGGCGCAGGGCCGGAAATTTCCCTTCCCTGGGGCTCCTGGAGTCCACTGGGTCCCTAATAAAGCTCCGTCCACTTTCTTTTGCCGTCTCTCCCAGACCTCCTGGGGAGTGATGTGGTAGCACCAAGTCCCCATTATGGAGTTGGACAAATTGAGGGTGCTCAGATCCCAGGAAATACTTGCCAGCAAACTTTTAACAAACTGACGCAGCACCCCCCACCCCACCTCCACCTGCGTTTCCTTCCCTGGGTCCCTTGGGGCTGTAAGAAGAGTCTTGGCCCTTGAAGCTGCTGCTTCTTGGCACCGCCCAGATCTTTACCTTTGGGAGACAGAATAATGAGGTTCTAGGATGGGGTGAAGGCTGGCATAGCAATGTACCATTGAATTCTCCTCTCTAAACTTCTGTCTCCTATTTCCCTTTGGGGGAGATGGAGTCCCAGGGAGGTCGAGGATTTGTTCTTATCATAGTTATACTTAGGCCCTTCCATTTCTAGGAGACAGATCTTTCTTGCAGCTTCGCTTCCCTACGAGTACTGCCTGACTTAGATAACTAAGGTGGGGTGTTTGGTAACTGCCTAGAGCCTCACCTGCACCCCTACAGCCCCCCTCCCAACCTGTCTGTAAGTTGGCTCTGTTAGGGATGGAGCCTTTAACAGGCCCCAAGGGGGCAGGTGTGTCATCAGCTTCTAGAAAAGCAGGCCTTAAAGGGCCAGACTTGAAATAAGATCTGCTTTTCTTCCTGTCCACGTGCCTTCAGTCCCATTTCCTTGCTCCCACTCAGCTATGGATGGCCTGGGGGCTCCTTTGCTCCTCACCATTTGAGTTGACTGCAGTTTCCCTTGGCTTTTTGTCAAGTGAGTATCTTCATCTCCTAGAAGGGCTGTAGTGAGACAAAGGTCTGTCGTCTTCTCGAATAACCCATGCAGGAATACTTAATTTTCTTAAATCACACCTGAAATGGGCACTGCTTTTGCTTGTGGGGCCAGGAGCTAATATAAAGCCTTCATTTTACAGAGTGGAAAGGTCACATGCCAGCAAAAGATAGAACTAGGTCCCAGACCTGTGAGTGTCTCTTCTCTGCCCAGGCAGGGGCTGGAGAGAGCCAATGTTCAGACTGTCTGCTGTGACCTAGAACAATTCTGCACCCCACTTTGGGCCAATTTCCCCTAACCTTCTCTGAACATAGCTGTCCCTCTGCATTTCAGGGCTTTGGAATGGGGAGAAGAGGGTAGGAATGAGAATGCCAGAGTCGCAGGAATCTGGTTTTAATCTAATCTTACAGTCCTGAGGGTCAGGTGCACTACTCTGAAAGGCAGAGCCCTAGGGGAGCTTCCTCCCCAGGTACTGTATTTTTTAGGTGATTTCTCAGCTAACGGCCAGGCCTTCCTGAACCCATTTTTAGCTGGGAGGAGGTCTGAGAGACTCTGAGAGAGCTTGGAACCAGGAGAGCAGTGAGGGGCCCTTGCATCCTCTGGCCTCTCCGGAGAGGGAGAACCTGCTGAAGCTACCCTGGTCATTTCAGGTCTAAAGGCCTGGAGAGAACAAGGACCTTTTGGAGGTGACACAGTGAGGAGCTCAGGCCGCAGTGTTGGGCCGCAGCCAGGACTGTTTGTTTTCTCGGTTGCATGGGAGAAGACACTTGGTCTAGAGAAGCTTTTAGCTAATGGTGTAAAGTGCTCTGTGCCATCACAATTTTGCCTTTCTCTGGGATTTATTAGTAATCAGCTTTGTCGTGATCTGAAGGGAGGGGAGTGGGTAGGAAATTAGATAGTTCTTGCTGGAGAGAGTAGTGTCTGTGTGGGAAATGGAGATCGGTCCTGGTGTCGCAGGCAGCTCTGTCCCCTCCCTCCACTTCCGGATGCTCACCAAGGACCTTGGCCAGGGCAGATAGCACTCAGTGACTTGAACCCTAGTCGTTGGTTCAATATTCTGTCCAGTATCCCTTGTCAACTAATAAAAGTCACCTTCCCACCTCTGCTTGGCTCAACCAGGACCCCCTCTAGAAGGCTCCATTTTCTCCTCCATCAACAAACTGGTATGTACTCAGTCCAGGGGCTCAGAAAGCAGCACTGACTCAGAGGGTCTCTAAAGGGATGTGTCTCTGGCCCTCTAGGCAGCCTTCCCTGGCAGTCACCATCCCTGAGGGCCCTCTATGGGCAGGGCACTTTGTGTTGTTGGAGGGCTGTTCTTAGTCCAGCACAAATAAGCATAGCCACTAGTCAGAAGACTGACCCCTAACCCCCACAGCTTCCTGAACATTTTCTTCATGGCCCCCATCCCTGAGGGGTGGACCAAATACAGGGGATCTTGAGGGACTTGGGCATTGAGGGCATCAATGCTCACCAGTAAATCTCAGCAAAAGGAAATGAGGGGAACAGGGGCCTTCTTAAAGCCAGTGCCTGTGGCTGGGGGAACAGTTCAGGGTTCTAGTCTGGGACATACCCCTGCTTTCCATAAGCCCCTTCCCTCTCAGCTGGCCCAAGCCAAATGAAGGTGTCTCTGGGCCCAGCCACCAGAGGGCAGTGTGGGGCTGCTTCCGGGCCCTGGAGGGTGTGGCCGAGCAGGATTGGTCCCTAGTGTCCCCACCCACAATCAGCCCCTTCTCAGTGGCGCCGAGGCTTACTAAGCCCTGAGTTTCAAGGGTCTGGCAGAAGGAGCAGATAGTGGCAGTCACTTAAGGAAGGGGTGCAAAGGGGGTCCTCTGGTTGGGGTGGGCCCAAAACATCAGGGACCATCTGGAAAGAGAGGTTGCCCCTGTTTGCGATCACCATTTGCCTAAAAGCCCAGAGTCATTGCACTCCTCACAAATTTGTCACACTGATAATTGACCAGAACGACCCTCTGGTTGTCAGCTGGAGACCAAGGTAGCTTCCTGGAGATGAGGCCAATGTAACAGGCCTCAGCTAAGGTGCTCGAAACCTTCAGTGGGCAGTCTTGGAGGATCCCTTTCCCTGACAGATTTCTGGAGAAAAACGCAGGCAGCCCAGCTTCTCAGACGTAAAGCAGCTCCTTTACATCCTGCAGGGGAGGAGATACTTGGGGAAAGTGGAAGATCCCCAGCCTGTTTCTTCCATTAGTCCTTGACCGCACCCTGTCCAGCAGCGATGGGGGAAGGGAATCCTTGACTCTGGAATAATATATTAACCACCTCCTCTACTCCAGGCACTGTGCTAAGCACTTTACACCCATTATCTGTTAGAATCTGCAAAGTAGGGGTTATTATCCCCATTTCCACAGATGAGGAAACGGGGAGTAAGGGAGGGCAGGCAGCTTGCCCATGGACATAGAACCCTAACTCGGGTATCCCTTAAACATAAGGATTGTCATGTGTCAGGCTGATGAGGGCTCTATTTGGGGGGATTTCTGAGCTCCCATCCTTTATATCTGGGTACAGTGACTCCTGGTCCTTGGATCTGGGAGGGGGGATGTGATGAGGCACTGGAGGAGTGGCAGAAGGGGCTGCCCCAAGGTCTGGGTGCACCCCCAGAGGTCGGCACCCCAGCCTGGTTGTTTGGGCTCTTCGGGGGAGAGTCAGGCTGAGTCAGCACACCTGGCTTCAGGCAAGGGCAGGGCAAGGCTGATGGGGCCTGGGTTCCCCGTGGAGGGCTGCCTCCTCTCCTTGCACACCTGGGCTGGAATTTTGGTGCCAAGGAGAGGAAAGAGCTTGTAATGGTATAGGAAGGAGGTGACAGGCTTCCTGGTGGAGCAGAGAGTGCCCCAGGCATGGAACGGAACAGACCTGGGATTCAGTCCTGACCTGGAACTTCTCAGTTGAGAGACCTTGGGCAAATGATTTGCCTTCTCTGAGCCAGTTTCTGGTGTGTGTGTGTGTAAGTAAATGAGCAATCACACTGAATGCCTCGCACATAGTGGGGATCTTACATGTTTGATGGAGCCAATCTGCCTACCTCAGGAGAGGCTGCCAGGACAGAGCCCCCAGGCAACGTGGGCCTTTGCTTCTCCAGAGCATTGCCATATCAGGAATTCCTGGAACGGTCTCCCTTATCCCCCGACTACAGGCCCTGAGGAACTCCATAAGGGGAGAGGTGAAGAAGGGGGCAGGCTATTCATCCCCGGAACATTCCATTCCAGCTTCTCAGACCAGTGGGGATCCCGGCCAAGGACAAAGGCCCAAGGGAACCTCTGCTCACCCCAGGAGCCCCCATCCCTTCTGGATGGGAGCCAGCAGAGCCCTGATCCATAATATTGCCCCCACACCTTCTCTCCACAAGGGCCCCTCTTAAGGAGGTGTATGTTGAAGAGTTTGGGTGGTGCTGGGTGGCTGTGAGAAAGAGGTAATTAAAGCTCTTGAAATTATTCTTTCCAGCTCCTCCCAGTTCCTCAGAGCCTCCGTTCTATGGATCTGGACTCCTGGATCCTGCTCCTTCCCTGAATGCCTCCTTCAGGAAGACTTCTCAAATCACGCTACCCAGCCTGGCACCCTCCTTTCTTCGCAAGAGCCCAGCATTTTAGTGACAAGGGGCTAGATTATGGGGAAGCTGCCTATACTATGAATTCCTTTAAACATGCCACAATCTGACTGTGGCTTGTACTGTACAATTGGAAATGTTACAACAGGCCCTCCAAGACACAGTCAACTTATTTAAGAGCGCAGCAAACATTTCCAATGTGAAGATGAAAAGGATTTCTTTTTAACACAGTCATCGTTCTTAAGTCACAGCGCAGCTGAGGTCCTCATTTTGGAAGATGCCATCACTTCTCAGTCTAACAACACTGGGAGGCCTGTTTGAGGGAAAACATTGGTCAGGGATCTCTCAGTTCTCCTCACCCTCTGTCCTTGCCCTCACCATGTGGGAGTACCTGTGGCCCCTCAGAAAGGTGATCAGCTGCTCACTCCTGGGGGCACACCTCTTTCTCACAAAGAGGTGGTGGCAACATAAAAATTATAAGTAAAGTTTTAAGTGAAAAAAGAAGCATATTTATTCAAATATCCTCAACATAGAAGGGGGGCACATTTACTCACACAAAACCCAGAACTTGTAGAATTCTGCAAAATGAATGTATATGGAATCTGTCCCTAATTTACATATTCAGGAAGAATAAATTTCAGTCATGCAAGACAAATACACATAGTTTTGAGGTTTACTTTGCAAGTGTCCTTGCTGGCTTTCCTTTGTCTGTCACAACTGTTTAAGTTGGCAGGTCCTTGAGCAGCTTCTGTGTAGTTTTGTTTGTCAGTCTGGGCCTGTTGACTGATTTGTAGACTGCTTTCTCCCTGGATCTGGCACAAAGCTGACCCTCTCCAGGAAGCCTTCCCAGATTAAGGATGTGACAAGGAAGCCAGGAGCTGGGAATGCACGTGTGAGACTGTGTGACACTGAGGGAGGTCCTGCATGTCTGTGATAACCTGGCTGCGTGATGGTCGGTGGCACATTGTGACTGTGCTGATGACTGTATGGACCTGTTTGTCAGTCAGGGTCCCAGCAGGAGACAGGGCATACACAAACTGGGAGGAGGTTTTAAGGGACTATTTCCAAAAATGTGGGCTTAAGAAACTAACGGGGATGATGCAGCTAGCTCTCTGGGGCTAGCAACTGTGGGAAGCCTTTACAACACCTGGACCTGCAGGGGGAAGAGGAGAGGAGGGGAGGCGAGGGCACAGGGCCCTGGAAAGTGCAGCCCTGTGGAGAGGCCCCTTTCTGCAGCACACACACACAGGAGCAGTGGCCTTTGGTTAACAGATGTGGCCAACTATGGCAACCTGGAGGAGGGGGGGCGGGGAATAAACCCATGTTCTCCTCTTTCCAATCTGCTGGGGCCTTTCATTGGCTGGACCCAATCGGAAGGCAGGGAACAAGGGAGCCATTGATGCACAGTCTGTGGAGGTGAGCCTCCCCAGGGCACAGCAAGGAGGAAGGCAGGAAGTGGGACTGAATGGGCCAACCCCTCATCTAACTGCCTGGGGTGTAGCTTCTGTTTCCCAAAGTTCACAGCAATGCTTCTGCCCACTCTGGAGCCCCTCCTGGCCATTGTGGGTCATATAAAGCGTGGGTGGACTGTTGCTTGGCAAGCACTGTGGGACTGGGGTGGGGGAGGGGCTTTCTTCCCTCAGCCTTTTCCTCTCTGGCTCTGATTCCCAGTTCTTGGTTCTTGCCTGTCCCAGCATCTCAGTTGGTTGCAGGAATTGTCCATGAGAGAACAATGCCAGCCACTGAGTCAGTGTTTTGCTCACACATGGAAACACTGCACCACCCCCAAACACACCCACATGGACGCCTGCTGCCACCACAGACTGCTGACATAGTCATCACAAGCCATGGCTAGTGTCACATGTATTCAAGAAAATATACATCTTGGCACACTGCTACACTCTGCCATAGTCATACATAAAATGGTGTCATAGTAATACAAACTCAGTCACATGTCAACGTGCCCTGTCACATATATATACAGGAAACACGCTGTCATGCTCATCCATGTAAAATCTGTGCATGGTGCAGGGTTCATAGCAACGGTTCTGGATGGAGTCAGACAAACCTCTTTGACCTCTGGCATCCATTTCCTTGTTCTGCAAAATGTAAATAATACGTGTTCTTCTCTCGGAGTTGTGAGGATGAAATGAGAGGTATTGATTGGGAACACCTGAGCACAGTGCCTGGTCTGCAGTAAAGCACTCCAGAAATGGTAGCTGTTCCTGGGAACTCCTGTCTCCCAGTCTCCTGCTTGTCACGCCCATGCGTGTTGCATACCAGCACCAGAGAGCACACACGCCTGCACAAGGCCAGGCGCCCTCAGGCACACGAGCCCTCCCCGAGACACGCCTGCTGGGAGTGTTTGTTCATTAACAGACAAGTTCCCTCTGCCCAGAACACTCTTCTCCCATTCTCCTGGCTCTCTTTCCACTGCCTTTAAGTCTGTTAAATCAGATGTCCCCCTTTCAATGAAGTCCACCTGACTTTTTAAAATCCCTTACTCTGTTACGTGTTTTTAGGCATTGCTGAACTTCAAAGACTACATAATTTAGTTTACTTCCTGTCTACCCCTTTCAAATGTAATCTTCATGACATTCTTGGTCTTCTGTTAGCTGACATATTCCTAGCCCCTGCAGGGGTAGCTGGCACACATGGGCTGACTGCAGTGCACACACATGTACCACAGGCTTCTGGCCTTCTAATCCTTTGAATGCACATCCAGGTGAACCCACTTCCTACCCCAACAATCTAAGCCTGTGTGCGAACATTGTGAGGATCCCCCTCACGCCCAGATCCAGAGCTGAGACACACTGAAGGCCTCCTAGGACCCAGGCTGGGTGGGTATGGTTGGGGTGGGCTGGGTGGAGATGCTGCAGTCACCAGGTGAAGAAAGCCTTCCCACTTGCCCTTCTGCCATTGAGTCTGGCAGGAACCCACTGGGCAGGTGAGGTGGCTGGACTCACCTAGGTGACTTGGGGCCTCCTCTGTGGCCTTGTTTCTTCCACCTTGGCTGGAACCATCGAAGCCACCACTTCAGAAGCCACTAATGAGGCTGAATATGTTAAAGGCTTTTTAATCTCTGGATCAAAGAGGCTGGATAAACAGTGGGCAGCGTCCAGGCCTGGACTGGCTGATGCCCTGAGGGAACAGCTCCCTGAGAGTTTG